AAAATACGGGAAACCTTTTGCTGAGGCTGCACGTGCTAATCAGCTTGAATACCCTGCTAAAGTCTCACAAAAGCTGATTTCTAAACTAAGTGTTCATGCGCCACCAAAACTTCTCGTTGAAAGGTGTTGTTAGAAGCCTGGAGAGCATTTGATCTAGCTTCTTGGACTTATTTTTTTGCATATTTCTAGGTTATTCTAGTCAATTGTTCACCCGCTGCCTTTTTTAGGTATATGATTGAAATTGCAAAGTCAGCGGGCATTCCTTTTACACCGGATCCTGCTGTTATGCGGGAGGATGAAGTTGCTGCAGCAGAGCAGATGTTAATAGATTTTAAAAAGCAAGGAGGAGTACGGTTATTTCTAATTTTCATTATGAGATAAAGTTTAGGTTTTGGCTGGGCTAGTTAGTAAAGTTCTAGTTCACGACTCTTTTAATTTTAGTGCAAAATTGGCTGTTTTTCTTATCTTTGTTTTATTGAATTTTTGTCTGTTAATAGTTTTTTCCTTTATATTAATACATTACTAATTATAAGCAATAAGCTTCTAAAGTAGACGCATGCAGATTGAAAGCTTTTTTCAAATGTAAATATTATTTTTCTTACTTTTCCATCGTAAGTAGATCGTGGAAGGTTTTTGAACCATAGGTACTTAACAAATACTGTGGACATTTGATCTCTTTAAGGTAGGCGAGGTCTTTTTCACCGTTTTTTTCGTGCTTCAGTTTGAAGTTTCTGTCTTAAAATTAGTTTCAGGGGGGTTTTGGATGGATGTATCCTGCTAGTGACCAACATGGTGGGGATCGAAAAGGTGGACCTTTGCCACCTCCAATGGGTGGAGGATCAGGTTTGCTTTACGTGTTCGCTAGAGCATTGTTCTGGGTCAGATTTTTTGGTCATAAGAAGTTTCCTTTTTTACAATGTCAGCTTGTTCTTTCTCAGATAAGAGCACACGGACAGATTTACGATGCTAATAAACGCATTCTAGGATTTTATCCTGGCCCTCCCCCCCCACCTCCTATCGGACTGAATAATAGTCCTGGCTACGGTAGCGGAAGCGGCGGTTATCCTCATCCAGTTGGTCCTGTAATTCCCCCTTCTGCAGTAGATGGTACAGTGCCAAGCTTTAACTATCCAAGGCTTAGTCAGGTTATTTCTCTTTTTTTTTTT